AATGTACTCACTGTGTAAACTCGATTAAGAGTCCGCACATATATTGTGTCTCCGTCTCGTCCTCGCTCCATTCACCCGCAAAATGAGTTTCTATCTTGCGTAGTTGACGGTTGACAAAGATATAGTCCACCCCATTAAGTACTGATTCTCCTAATCGCTTAATAGCTCGACCAGAAAGAGAGCCAAAGCCGTAGACAGTGGAAGTAGATGTTTCAGTTGCGTTGCTTGAGTAAATGCTGGAGTAGATGCTGGAACCATCGTTCAAAACACTCATCGCTGAGCACTGACTGGTGGAAGTGGAGAGAGAGCAATTGGTGTGCCCCGTACAACAGCTTCTTTACTCTGACAATGGGGCTATGCACATCTCAACTGTCCTTTGGATTCTTGAACTACGCGGTTGATTTCACACTCCACACTAGTTGCCATCAGCCCAGGTCGTTCACCCAGTCCTACCGACCGGCAACGGCTATATTCCACAAGGAAGCTATCAGAGCGAAGCTGATCTCCTCGAGTCGGTGCAACTTGAAGTAGAGAAGCAATGCAGTCCTTCGCACGTCGGGTAGGTTGTCCGCAGCAAAAAAAGAATTGCTGTTCACCGTATCATAGATTTGGGTTTTCGAGATCGTGGAACTGTGGTTTTAGAAAAAGGTACCGAAGAGGTGCATCTGATGACCAAAATATGATCCCAGTGACTCTAAAACTGGGCATATATGCCCATTATCACAGGTCTTGGGGCACTAGCTAGAACACGGAGCAAGAGACGCCGGGTGTATCATGAGATTCGACTTGAAGGTGTACTAGTTGAACGGCAACAATCAAACTGAGTTCATGATCGTCGCTGCGCGGGAGGTATGCTAGATCGTTCTCTGAACGGTATTGGGCGGAGAGCGTACAACTTGCCAGTAGCCGAGGATGATGGGGGTTGCATGAAGAGGATAATTCAAATTATTCAATTGAGTTCCAAATTTGGCAATGGTACATCATCGAACCGGGGTAGCGGCACTCCGCAACCGCTGATGTTTCTCTCGCTCACCATGATCATGGTTCGGCAATGGTTGAGCATTCTGCTCGCCCTGGTCTCCACCTCTACCGCTATTCAACACACTTTCTCGACTCAAAACGGTACTTTGGCGTCTCAGAACGTGTTTGATCATGAAGGAAACCTATTCACCCCCGTGGAATCGCTGGAATTCGTATCAGAGTCAGAGTTCACAACTCTTCGACACCCTTTCTTCCCAAAACACAGCGCCAGGATCAAGAAGTCGCGGTTTTGTGATCATACAGTTAAGTAAGTATGGATTTTACTTTGTCAGAGACATATTCTGACAACCAGTCGCGACTTATAGTGCGTACACCGGTTACATTGACATCGAAGCACGACACCTATTTTTCTACTTCTTCGAATCGAGGTCCAATCCTGACAAGGACGATGTGATATTCTGGACAAACGGAGGTGACGGCTTTTGGGAAGTTCATTGGATGATGGACCTGACAGTGCGCATGGTTATTAAGGACCTGGAGGCTCATCGTCGTTGGGATTGTTCATGGAATTAGGTACGTTACGATGCTTTTATTGTGAAGCAGGGTGTTGAAAGTTGATCGATGATCCCACCAGGACCATGTCGAGTCCTCGACGACAAAGGAGAGAAGTTTCATCCAGAGTCTTGGAACTCGAACGCGAACATATTCTTCGTCGACCAGCCAATCGGTGTTGGTTTTTCTTATGCTGAATACGGGGAATCAGTTGTCAGTGAAAGTTCTTGCACTATTCATCCCTCAAGTCTTCTTACAGCCAGCCAATAGAGCACGACTGAGGAAGCTGCTCAAGACATAGCTGCCTTTGTCGCTATCTTTTTCGAGAACTTCAACCAGTTCAAGGGTCGACCCTTCCATATGGCTGGTGAATCATACGGGGTGGGCTCTGGGACATTCTCTCAGCAGATTGGCGTTAACGTCTCCCCCGCTTGACAGGGTCGCTACATCCCTCTCTTCGCATCTGCTGTATACGACCAGAATACCGCGCTCATCGAAGCTGGGCTAGCTCCGGTGAATCTCAGCTCTATCATGATAGGTAGGCTGCTCCGAATATCTTAAGTATTCGCTGCTTCCGAGATGACGGGTTCTCTGAATGACAGGAAACGGAATGACGGAACCATTCGAGATGATGTGGTCGTACCATGACTTTATGTGCACTGAAGCTACGCTGCCCCCAGTTGTTAGCATCAGCACTTGTGTTCAACTGAAACCGGTTGTGAGTTTGGTTCTATCTCGACGGTGGCAGGGTACTGACGTCCAAGGGTTAACAGGTTGAAAGATGCAAGAAATGGACCAAAGCTGCCTGCCTCGACCAGTACGACGCTATCAATTGCGGTGCGGCATCGACCTGGTGTGAAGGTAATCTCTTTTCGACATTCGTTGCTACCGGTACGTCGAGCCTATTCCTAAAACTGAACTTGCATTCTCATCTAACGTTTTCTGTCCAGGCCTCAATCCTTATGATTACAGTCAGAAATGTGACGGAACGCTCGGTGACACTCTTTGCTATTCAGCGTTCAAGTAAGTCTCAGCGCGGTGGCGGGTTATTCTACGCTAGCTAACCCGCCCGAACACAGACACATCAACAATTTCCTCTCTAACCCCAAGCTGCGAAAACAAATTGGCGTCGACACCCACCCCTCTATCCCAGCCAATTTCAGTGCGATCAATTTTGAAGTCAATACCGCCTTCGCCTTGGCTCAAGATGGATGGCATCCTTCTACGGCTTACGTTGCCGCGCTCCTGGAACGAGGTGTACGAGCGCTCATCTACGTTGGAACGTACGACTGGATATGCAATTGGGTTGGGAACGAGAGGTGGACACGTGACTTGGAGTGGAGCGGAGGTGAGGACTTCAGGAAGGAGGAGTTGAGGGAGTGGACGGTGGATGGCAAGGTTGCTGGGAGGACTAGGAGCTCTGGAAAGTTCACGTTTGCGACCGTGGATGCGGCAGGTCATATGGTAAGTCATGTTCCGTTCGGAAAGTAGATTTGATACTGATCAGAAAACTCGAAGGTTCCGTACGACAAACCCAAGGAGTCACTTGAGCTCGTCAATCGCTGGTTGTCAGGCAAAAGTTTGTAGCAGAGCGCATAAGCGCAGATGTATATCAATAGTAAAACAGCTTGTAAAAGTACTATCCAACATTTTGGAAGATCCAACTAGAGTTCTGAAAACACCTGTAGGTGAACATAGAGAGCAAAACGTTAGCAGGGGCAGATTCGGTATCCCAATATCCAAGACCTATGTAACGAGATAAGCTGGAGAACAAGAAGCGAAGGAATATCACGCACATCCACCAAAGTTTCCATCTAGAGTCTGCGTTCCTCTTTGGATGGCACGGCGAATTCACCCAACGTGACCCAGTCGTCCGCCTACAGTTCCCTTCCCTTGTGCTTGGCGAGTGGTTGGTCCACTGGTGGAAACAAGACTGTTTCGGTGCCCTTGACCTATCACAAAGATGTAAAAATGAGCAGAGGAACAGAACAGAAGGATCCACACACTTACCCCCGAGATCATTCCCGCCGATAACCCACTCGAGAGGCCCCTTCCCGACCTTCCAGCCGGAGAGCACCATCCGTCGATCCGTCACTGCAGCTGAGCTCCAAAAATCGGTATATGCATCTCCATATCCAACCGAACGTGACGGTACGCTCATAGCACCAGCCAAAAGGTCGTTCGTCAAAGCGAGCGGTTGGCTTCCATGTCCAGACGAAGAGGCGGTACGTTGATTTTCATGTCGTGGCAACTGGGTTTCAAGGTCGGTCTCTGCTGCGTACTGATCTGGAGAGAGAGAAAGACAGTATGAGGAAGGTGATTTGTTGCGACAGAGACATAGAAAACTCACGCCGCTCTATGCTCAGCCAGCACGATCTCCCTAGAATTCCGACATGTAATTCTCGTGCATGGTTGATAATCAAATACAGTGGCCGTCGGTTTTGCGAAGATACAACACGACAGAAGCTATGATCAGGGGAAACGATATGAGCGAACAATAAGAGGACGACGTCGACCAACTGACCGATCCATGCCCTTCAACGAGACTGGTAACACCGCCGGCTGGCGTCATCTGAGCGCATTGTAGACGAGCTTCATATATCGGATTTATCGACAGGCCGTTTTGTGGAATTGCGAGATGCCAAGGTCTGGATAAGAGACAGGACGGCATGGGCATTGAGCGACGTGTTGAGCCGTGCTCTAAGGCGATGGCTCACCCATTTCGTCTCGACGTATGTCCTTTCATCGCTCTTCAAATCAGGCTTCTTTGTGTTTCGATTGCTTTCAAACTCCTCCGGTGACCGTATCTCAAGGGTTTCGAACATCACTCTAAAGTAGACCGGTCAGCGAGGGCCAAGACAGAACAAGACCACTACGTACCCAAGTCTCAAATCACCCAGCATCTCAGTTTTCGCGAATCATTTTCGAGCCCAATTACACAGTCATCGACGAAGAGAGAGCCTCCACTAGTCGAGCATTGACCACGAACAATAGCTTTCAAAATTGATCAAGTGTGAGCGCAAAACGTTTCCCTGATATACATGGGCGAACAGAACTCACGACAGCATATACAGTTCCCAAGCCTCGGTCATTTATTCAAGTGTTAAGATGAGAAGCTTGATAGAGTAGAATGTTGAGTAGATAGCAGGCGAAGAGATAAGTCGCGATCGAACATGGTGGTTCAAGTTAAAGCTGAGGGTCACACCGGTCCGCTCCTTCAATTCGGCACTTCCAGTTTTCTCGAACAACACCTTGTCAATCAAAAGAAGGGGTAGGATAGCACACGCGAACACTCTCGAAAATGCAACTTGTACCAAGTAATGGGCAACGAAAAAGTTGAGCTCAAGCCAAATAGCTATCTCCCTGGCTGGGAGTCGAACCCAGCTTTCGCGCGAACCAGAGATGTACCAGTATGTGACAGGCGCGTGTACTAACCGATATACTACCAGGGAGTTACTAGAGGGTTCAACCAACCAAGTATGACGCTGCTGGGGCCAATGATTTGAACTAAGAAATACAGTCGAGACCCCTAAGCCAAGGTCCACTGAAACTAACCAACACTCTTGTGGGTAGATTTGCGAGTGCGTTATTCGCGGTTGTCTCGAGATGGAGGGAGAGAGTAAAGACCCCAATATGCGTGTTTGATGACGATATGACGGATGGTGATAGTGAGGAGGAGTGGTCAGGAGAAGAGTCGGACAGTTAGCCTAGTCCGGCGGCGCTCTGAGCATACGCGCCTACGTTTGCATTTACGGACACTTTTTTCAATTATTCGGGCCTTTCTTCGTTACCTTTTCGTGCACTACTGTCGATCACCTTTCTTTTATTGTACGATATCGAAATGCCCGAGTCTGGTCGGGTGGGCAGATTGGTTGACCTCCTCCTTGTTGGGGTGTGCTCATCTTTCTGTTCATTCCGGCTCCAGCGGTTCCTTAACGGGACGGTGCTGTGTAATATCTATCTATCTATCTATCTCAATTATGCACTTCGTGCCCTTCCGGCCCCTCCTTGGCATTCTGGTTCCTTCCCCAATTGACATTCGACACTCCCGAGCCCTGATAGTTGCTCTGAACCCCCGCTCCCGGCGCGTTATAATTGCTGATAGTAGACCCAGAGGAAGGATGACCGCTGGCGGAGCCGTTGACCTGATCGCGACCGGGATGGGGAGTAAGTTCTATCCCATTCGGACCGATTCTGTGATAATACGTGTCACCGATGGTTAGACCTTCAACACCCGCGAAGAAGGTACTAGTGGAACTGCGATGGGCGGAATTGGTGGAACCACGGGAGTGGCTTTGGGCGCGATGGTAATCGGAGAAAGGATTGGGAGGATCATCAGAGAGGGTACTGGTGGGTTCTTCACACACGGGACCGGAAAGAACATCGAGGACACGATTGGCGGGATCCGACTCTTCGTAAGGAGGAGGCGGGTCCGAGAAGATACTCAAGGAGCGGCTCGACCTTGAGTTAGAAACATGAACACCGTTCCCAGTGACCATGTCAGTATTAGGGCCACGGTTGAAGTTCTGCTCGCCGCCGTATGTGTTGGAGACAGTTGTTTGCG